AATTATTCAGTATTGCCACTTGAGGCTTGAAATTTTTCTTCAGTTCTTTCAGCTTGAGAAATGCTGAGTATGTGTTCTTCACTTTTGCTTTTCTAATTCCAGTTCTTTGCGCATTTCATTGTAATAGTTAGTCCTCTCAATCTGTACTTTGTCTTTTTATTTTCTACCTCCAGTTCTTTGCGCATTTCATTGTAATAGTTAGTCCTCTCAATCTGTACTTTGTGATTTTCTCTTCAGCTCTTTTGCTTCATCATTTCTTCTGATCGCTTTAGCCACTTACTCTACATTCAAGAGCAAGATTTAGAGTGTCTTTATAACAACCACTTTGGTTTTTCCTCTTTTGCTGTCTCTTTAATGACATTTCTCTCTCTTCATGCTTGCTGTTTTTGATAGCATCCCACACTCCTCTAGTCTTCAGTCATTGGTGTTCAGTGTGGCAAATCTGTTCTTAAGATAGTCTCGAAATTCAGCTGGGACATGCTTGAGGTTATATTTTGACTCTCGTGGACTTGTTTTAATTTCCTTCAGCTTCAGCTTGAAATTGAATATAAGCAACTAATGATCTATTCCACAGTCAGTCCCAGACCTTGTTTTCACTGATGATATTGAGCTTTTCCAAGTAACAAGACTGAGGCAAGTTTATGATTGAGAAAACGTGTTTGCAGCTATCCACTGATCACAAAGACATCTTGTAGCATGCTTTGCTTGGAATAAATGTGTTCATGTATACACTAAACCATAGTAGCAATACTTTTGGACTAACTTTGTATATGTAACAAAACATTAGCCAATACAAATAATTTTGCATGAATAATTCTGTGAATGACATTATACTCATCATATGCGACCATCGACACTATCAGTTTCCTAATTATCCACTACCGTTAACAGAATATCAATCTTCCCTAAGCATTGAATCTCTCCTTTACCATCCCATATCTGGTAATCTATGAAATACTGCCCCGTCCTGTGACAACCTCACAATCATTGCTATGTTTGAGACTATTTTTGCTGCCACTGTACCAATCCATCTCTCTGAGGGGATCTTCCTCTGTTTTGCTGACCCTCCACATTATGAAGCATAACATTTGTCTCCAGGGACAGATTCCTTATGATAATATGTCTGAAGTGTGAGAGATGAAGTCTTATCATCCTAGCTTCTGAGGAGCATTCTGGCTGTACTTCTTCCAAAACAGATTTATTTGTTGTTCTGGCAGTCCATGGTACTTTTAATATTCTTCTCCAACACCGTAATTCTTCTGTGGTCTTCCTTAGTCACTGTCCAGCTATCCACATACATATGAGACTATTAGAGATACCATAACTTGAGTCAGGTGCACATTAGTCCTCAGACTTACAACATCTTTGCTCTTAAACTTTTTAAAGAGATTTTTGAGTGTTGATGGCTGATCCAAGCAAAAAGAAGTTTTTAATAACTTCAATCTTTTCTTCATTTATCTTGATGTTACTTATTGGCCCAGTGGTGAGGATTTTTGTTTTCTTTACATTGAGGTGCAGCCCATACTGAAGGCTGTGGGTTTTGGTCTTCATCAATTGTCGGGGTTTTCCCTCGACATAGTTGTCACGAGTTTTTGGTTCACGAGGAGGGGAGATCCAGCGGCGATAGGGATAGTGAAAGAATACACAGACAAACAGAAGAAGGGAGACAATGAGGCACCCCAAAGCCAGGGTGGATACATCACTGGTGGGCAGGCTTGGGACTACAGGCATCATGGCCTCTGCAGGCAGTGACTCACTGCCCTGCAATCTTTAATGCATGCCTTCCAACCCGTAATGCACCGCAATCTTTACTCCATGCCTTCCAACCAGTAATGCCCACCTGGGGAGGCTTGGGCCTCTGTTTTATTTAGGGGAGGAGTTTCACAACAAGCTGGGAGGGACTAAAACAGGATACAGCTAACATCAGTAATTTTCCAGACATTCAGGTAACTTTACATTGTACTTCACTGGTTCGAATCCCAGGCCAGCAACTTGGATTCTCAGGTCCAATTAACATATCTATAGCCCCTGAGGTCAGTTGGGGGAAGGTGAGAGTTCTGCAGGAGACGCCCAGGTGAATGGGCTGCACCTGGAAAAGGGATTGGGGAGGATGGGTTCTTTATCTATAGAACAAAGAACCGAGAAGTAGCTAAGATATTTTTAGTTAATCCTTTGGAGAAAGGTTTAACCTTGCAACCTTTAGTCTCAGCTTTAGGAAAATATCACATTTATCTGTGGATTTTCAAAGGCTCCAGTGTATTAATTTAATATATATACCTAAATATTAAGATGAAAGCAATTTTCCATTAACTGCCAGTGGCCTCATTTGTTACACTCAGCCCTAGAGGGCCTCGAACCTCTGACTAGTCTTACACGGTCTGCAACAGTCAATAAGTGTTTTAAATCCTCTTCACTTGCAGCAAGCAAGATTGTATCATCTGCATATTGTAGGTTGTTAATGTGTCTTCCTCCAATCCTGATGCCACATTTTTCTTCATATAATCTAGTTTCTCAGATTATTTGCTCAGCATACAGATGAATAAATATGGTGGAAAAATACAACTGTGATGCACACCTTTCCTGATTTTTAGCATTCAGCATCCCCTTGTTCTACTGAATGATTACCTCTTGGTCCATGTACAGGTTAAGTACATGAACACAGTTAAGTGTTCTGGAATACTCATTGTTGCCCAAAGCTTGTCATGATCCACATGATTGAAAGTCTTTTCATAGTTAGTAAAGCACAGATAAACATCTTTCCAGTCTTCTCTGCTTTCAGCCAAGATCCATCGGACATCAGCAGTGATACTCCTCATTCCAGGTCTTTGTCTGAACCCAGCTTGAACCTCTGGCAGTTCCCTGTCAATGTACTGTTGCAGCCATTTTTGAATTATCTTTAGAAAAATTTTACTTGAATGTGCTATTAATATTGCCCTATGATTACGACATTCCATTGGATCATCTCTCTTTGGGATGGGCACAAATATAGATCTCTTCCAAACAAGTGGCCAGGTAGCTCTCTTCCAAATTTCTTGGCAGAGATGAGTGAGTGTCTCCAGTACAGCATCAGTTTTTTGAAAGATTTCAATTTGCATTCTGTCAATTCCCAGAGGCTAGTTCTTTTCCAGTGTCTTCAGTGCACCTTGGACTTCTTCCTTCAGCACCACTGTTTCTGTATCATATGCTACCTCTTAAAATAGGTGAACGTCAACCATTTCTTTTTGGTACAGTGAATCTGTGTATTCCTTCCAGGTTATTTTTATGCTTTCTCTATCATTCAATATTTTGCCATTTGTTGTTGTTGTTAAGTGCTAGTGACCCTGTATTGGTTTCCAAGGAGCTGCTGGTGGGTTTGAACTACCAGCCTTGTGGATCGCTGTCCAGTGCTGATCCTACAATGCCACAACAGGAGTCCAAATTCCTTCAGTATTGCAAGTCAAGGTTTGAATTTTTTCTTCAGTTCTCTCATCTTGAGAAATGCTGAGTGTGTTCTCTTCCCTTTGGTTTTCTAACTCCAGATTTTTGCACATTTCGTTGTAATGTTTGACGTTGTCTTCTCGAGCTGCCACTTGGAATTTTCTGTCTGGCTCTTTTGCTTCCTCATTTCTTCCATTTACTTTAGCATCTCTACACTGGAGAGCAAGTTTCAGAGTCTATTCTGACATCCATTTTGGTTATTTTCTTCTTTCTTGTCTTCTTAGTGTCCTTTTGCTTTCTTCTTGTATGATCTTCTTGATGTCATCCCACAGCTCTTCTGGTCTTCGGTCATTTGTGTCTAATGCATCAAACCTTTCCTTGAGATGATCTCTCAATTCAGATGGGATATGTTCAAGGTCATATTATGGCTCTTGTGGACTTGTTTTAATTTTCTTCATCTTCAGTTTGAACTTGCATAGAGCAATTGATGATCTGTTCTACATTCTGCCTCTTGTCTTTTTTTGGCTGATAATTTTGAGCTTTTCCACTGTTTCTTTCCACAGATGTAGTCAGTTTGACTTCTGTGTATTCTATCTCATGAGTTTCATGTGTATAGTCTTTTTTTATTGTTTTTAAAAAGTATTTATAAGTGGCGAGCTAAGCCCTACAAAGTTCAATAGACTCCTGTGAACCCAGGTGGAGAACCTGGGTGGTTAGCCAGCAGTGTGGCAAGACCTGGAGACTCTTGGGCCCAGAGTCAGTGACATAGCCACAGAGGACTAGAGAGGAGAGTGAAGCATCCAGCTGATAAGAAGAGAGGACATATGCACAAGAACACCCATACGTGCAGACAATACCCACTTGACCTGGCTTCAGTGACTGGATGATCAGAGCTCAACCAGAAGAAGAAAGAAGAGGGAAAAAAAAAAAAAAAGAGTAATCTGATACAATTTGATGAACTTGACCTACACCTATGGATGCAGTAGCTCAAAAAAGGGAATAAATCCTTACAGTAAGGATCATTCCCATCCCCTCCACACACAGAGTAGACAGGGATGGGCAACTTGGTCATTGGCTACCCAAAAGGTGGGGGGGGCTACAAAGGCAAGAAGTGACTGCTTACAAGCACCCTTGATGTCCCCCCCTTTAGAGAAGAAGTTCAGTATTAGAAACCACTCTGTGATTCCTCTGGTCATGGGATTAATCGTCGATGAGACCTGAGTGGTGGGCTCAGGGTCCAGGGCTTAGCTCAATGTAAGGACCACTGCCAATGAGGAGTGAGTTATAGGGGGTCATGGAGGGTCCCCACAGAGTTGGCTTGCATAGTGTGCTGGCCCAGATGACCTGGAAACCCTGCCTGCCTGGGACCTGAACTTGCACCATCGGTTCCTGGGTAGGGTGGGCAGGTCCCCAGGTGGTTCTTGAGTTCAGGAGGCGTCTTGAACTGTGACCTAACCCTGGACGTTGAGTGGAGTGCTGGGCACAGTGATGGGCACCCACTCTTCTGCAGCTCTCCTCTCCCACTTTCCAGGAACCAGGCGACTCTCAGCAGTTTGGCAGCTCCTACTGTGCTTGTGTTGCAGGTCTGTGGCTGAGGCTACCGAGGTGAACCTGAACATGCGTGTGGGACTGCACACGGGCCGGGTGCTCTGTGGGGTGCTGGGCCTGCGCAAGTGGCAGTATGATGTGTGGTCCAACGACGTGACCCTAGCCAATGTCATGGAAGCGGCAGGCCTTCCGGGGTAAGTTGGTGGGCAGGTAAGACTGCATGGGCCGGGCATGCAGTATTTGGGACTCTTCCCTCCTGCTGGGCCCACCAGCTTCCTGACGCATGGAGTCCAGAGAAGAGCTGGTCTCGGCTTGTCCATGTATATAGTCTGGGCATGGGTGGTCTGCGCTGGAACCTCACTAGGTCCCTTCAGCCCTCACCCCCAGGCCCTGTCTGCAGAATCCAGCTCAGCTGAAGAGGGAGCTAGCCCTGTGCATGCTGCTGGGAGGGGCCTACTGCCCTGTGCTCGCTTCTGTGGTTTTCTCAAATGTCTCTGGGGTGATGCTGCTGTTTCTAGTTCCCTGAGGGGAGTTGCAGACATCTGTGTACAATTGGTGTGGATTCCCTATCAGCTCGTGCATGGAAGTACCTTATAATTAAAATGGCATCCATTGGTCTCATCTCCCCTCCCCCATACCATAGCATCAAGTCAGGGCATAATATTCTGTAAAACATTAACTTGAGAACTGAAGGGGAGCTGTTTCTTTATTCCCGCCTTTACACAGAAGGAGAATATTGTGAAAAAGCAGACTTTACAGCTGTGGTTACTCTACCCTCCCATCCCCATTTCCCTCCTGTAAAAGGAGAGGGGGTAGCAGCTGCCTTGCAAGGATGCTACACAGTTAGCTGTGATGCCCAAGTGTACAACTGAGCATCAGGTGTAGCCCCCCAAAGTCTGTGGAGCTCCTCTGTAGCTGAGAACCCTGCAGGCCAGCATCTCCACCATGGGCCTTAGGCCCTTCTAAATAGCTGCCCTTTAGTGGGGAAACCTCTGGCCCTGCACCGTCCCCTTTCCCTCCTGGACTCTGGGAGGAGGATTGAACCAGATGGCCCCTTTCTTTATGCCTAGCCCCAACAGGACCCTGGGAACAGCAGAGAAGTTGCCGACTCCAACAGTGTCCCAAATCACAAAAAGTAGATTTGTCAGATTCACAGAAACAGCACAGATGAACATCAGAAACAAGCAAGCAAATGGAGGGAGCGGACAGAGATGTGGGTTAAGGGTCTTCCTTCATCTGTGCTTGGACCTGCCAGGGAAGGTGGTGACCAGCCCTTGTAGCCCCCTGACTACCCGTGACCACTGTAGTCGCTAACCAGATACCCACCTATCTCCAACTCCAAGCTGCCCCCACCACCTGTGAGCACCTGCCGTGAGCATTAGTGTAAGATCTTCCTTCCCTTGGGCAGACCTTCGGAGACACAAAGCCTCCAGATTACAGAGCCTCCAGAATACGCTTGTCCCTAGATCCCTTTCTTCTAAACGCCACCCCTCCCCCACTCCCCTAGCAGTCTGCATCATATCTCAGTGGGTCGTCCGGCTGCCCCTTCTCCTGCCCCACCCCCAGCCTGTCTCCTTCTCTTGCTTGTTGCCCTCAAGATGAAGTCAAGACCCTTACTTAGTATGACCTCCCACACAGTCATCACTGGGAGCTGGGCACATTCCAGACACTGGACTAGTGGAGTTTCAGAGCACAAAGCCCTCTCTGGTTCTTCCTGAGTTATCCTTTTCTCCAAAAAGCTTCTTAATCACATAGGGTGGGCTGTGAGGCATTCTCTTCCACACCCAGGGTGGAAGACACACTGGACGTGATTCAGGTATTCAAGGAATGGCCCCCTCTCTGCTCCTCTGTTCCCCTTTCCTGGTCTGTCTGCCTTCCTTCTACCTCCTTTCTGAGAGATGCAGCAATACCTAGCACCAGCCCACCACATAACATTACAGGGTCTACAGGCTCCATGCTGCCTACTAAACAGGGCTCGCCCTGTGGAGTTCACAGCCTGTGGGGAGGTAGGCAGTGGCCCATAGGAATGGGACCCTAAAGTAGATGCAGTGGTGGGAGAAGGGGTCACATCAGGGAAGGATTCCACATGGCACAAAGGGGTGACATTGGGCTGGGTTGTTGAAGTGATAGGGGTCTCAGCCAGGAGTGTGGATTTGGGCATTCCCAACATATGATGGGAGCCCTGGTGTGGCGCTATGGGCTAATGTGTCAGACTGCAAAGTCATTTGAACTGCAAGGTTGGTGGTTCAAATTCACCAGCTTCTCCTTGGAAACCCTATGCAGCGTCACTATGGGTCGGAATCGACTCGATGGCACTTAACAACAACAATAAACATGATGACATTAAAATCCACAGCCTGAGGTAAGAACCACAAAGGTGGTACTGAGAGGAAGGATGAGGAAAGCAAGAAGAAGGCCTGAGCCCTCGGCACTACCGCTGATTAGAGAGCAAGCTAGGAGGTGGCAGGACCTCAGGACAGGTGTGTCTGAAGCCTGGGGTGAGCATGCCTTATGCAGGAAGCAGTGGGATGCCGTTTCCAGACCCAGTAGCATGGTGGCCAAGAAGGCCTTGGCTGAAGAAGGCTCAGGAGAGGGGCTGCCCAT